AAAAAAAAAAAATTGATTACTTCTGCAGTTGTGCTGCCGACCTTGTTGTGTGTGTCTTCTTTTGGGGAAAAGCGTGACTCTTGATTTTGCCCCTCTCTACCCCTAAGTGTTTCCAGGACTGCTGTGTCTTTAACTTGAGGCTGCAATTGTTCCTTTAGGCATGCTGCCTGTTGGTCCCTCCTTCTTCCTTTTGATGGACAGCATAGTAAGTCTTGCTCCCAGAAAGTGCTTTAGATGCAGGACTTGGTTAGAGAACAAGCCCAAATCCTAACTCTTGGTGAACGGGTGGATGTACAATGTCCGGAGGCCTCCTGCATCTCGGGGAGTGCTGGAAAATCCTGTTGCCTGGGGTGTGGGAATTGTTGACATTGAATAGGATAGTGATTCTTATCTTGGTGTGGAAAGGCTGGCTGGGGCCATGTCACTGGGAGACTAGCCCGGACCAGCCCAGCTGTTGTATCTTTACACCCGTTGCTGAAGTGCCCCTTGTTAGACCGAGCAGTTCGTCTTTCTCCAAACCACCTGGCACAGTGCAGGCCATGTGAAGCGCTTTCTCAGGAGGAAGATGGAGTAAATTACAGAGCTCATTGTTTTGGAGGACTGAAACCATTACTATTCCTCCATGAACAGGTAGTATTGTTCTCCTCCGCTTCTATTTGCTAAGGCTTGATGCCCATGTGGGCAAACAGAGAGACATTTTATTAGAGACCCAGCTCCATGCTTTTGCAGTATTCATTCTCCCTCAGTCTCTGCTAGACCCGCACGAGGCCAAGCTACATGGCAGCTAGCTGTAATTTTAGTTTGATCATTAAAAGATGAATGGCAAAAAACAAAACCGAAGAAGCAAAGGGAAAAGAAGGGGAAAGCGTAGACAAAATGCAATTGTTCCCATAGTGCATTGGGAGCTCATAATCGTTTTGCTGTGGTGCAGTGTAGAGCAGACATGTTCCTCTCACTCTGTTCCCCAACTTAAGGCTAAATGCAATGTGATGGTCAGGGCAGAATTGTTGTCCCTGGAAACTTAAGACTGTTTAACCTTAATAAATACCAGATTTCAATAGGAGCTGAGCCTGTTGCTCTCCTAAGCTCCATCCTGAAATAACCTAGAGTAGTATGACCCTGTGCACCACAGGAGACTCACACTCTTTCCCCTTCCCATGCCTCCTGTAATCTCAGGACTCAGCCAAGCTCACCGTTTGTATGAATGGCCTTGAATGATTCTATAGACACGTCACATTCTTATGAAAGGTTTGGACACAATAGCAGTTTCTATGTTTAGCACTTTCCTACTTTGGACAGCCTCCTAGCTCCTCTTGGTTTTGAAAAGACAAGAGCAGCTCAGATGGCCACGTTCTCCCAAAATGGATAACACAAATAAAACTAGAATGAAAATTAAAAGGTCTTTTAGAAAAGACCCTGTTTTAAAGTTCCATTGACTTTTTACCTGTTTTATTGAAGTATAATTTACATATAACAGAGTACACAGATCTCTAGTGGAGAGGTAGATGAAGTTTTCCATATGTGAACATCCATGAAACCATCACTCGGATCAATATAGAGAGTGAGGTTGGTACACCTTTATTGTCAAGGGCCAGATAGTAAATATTTTGGGCTTTCTGAGCCATTGAGTCTCTGTTGCAACTACATTTGACCCTTGAATGACACAGCATGAGTTTGAACCACATCAGTCCACTTAGACGTGGATTTTCTTCTGCCTCTGAGACAGCAAGACCAACCCCTTCTCTTCCTCGTCTTCCTGGTCAGGCGACTTATCCCAAAAATGGCCAGGATGAAGACCTTTATGATGATCCACTTCCACTTAATGAATAGTAACTATTTTATCCTTATGATTTCTTAATAACATTTTCTTTTCTCCAGCTTACTTTATTATAAGAACACTGCATATAATATATACGTGAATTATATATGAATTGACTTTATCGGTCAGGCTTCTAGTCAACAGTAGGCTATTAAGTTTTTGGGGAGTCAAAAGTTATACTCAGGCTTTCTTTTTTTTGTTGCTTTTTTTGAAACGGAGTCTCGCTCTGACACCCAGACTGGAGTGTAGTGGCACAATCTCGGCTCACTGCAACCTTTGCCTCCTGGGCTCAAGTAAGTCTCCTACCTCAGCCCCCCCCGCCCCCTCCCCTGCCACAAGTAGCTGGAAATATAGGCACATGCCACCACGTCCTGCTAAGTTAATTTTTGAATTTTTAGTAGAGATGGGCGTTCACTGTGTTAGCCATAATGGTCTTGATCTCCTGACCTTGTCATCCACCTGCCTCGGCCTTCCAAAGTGTTGGGATTACAGGTGCGAGCCATCACACTGGGACTATACTCGGGTTTTCAACTGTGTGGGGTTCGGTGTCCCTGGTCTGGGCGTTGTTCAGGGATCAGCTGTACTCAGTGCTATTGTGGTTTGTAAGCAGTCAATAACAAACCCAAAGGAATATACCTATACCTATACCTATACATATATCTATGTATATATCGTTGTGTCTCAATAAAACTTTATTTAGAAAAAACAGGCAGTGGCTGGATTTGGCCCCACAGGCTATAGTTTGCTAACTTTGGATAAAGAACTCCCCAGAAGTCTCCCTTGTTTCCCCCTCTTTCCAACTATTTGACTTCTTCCTCTTTCCCCTGCCCCCACTGAGAAGTCTCATCATCTGTTAATTTTATTTATCACTGTGGGTTAGTTTTGCCTGTTTTCAGGTTTCATGTAAATGGAATCTTACAGAATGTACTGTTTCGTGTCTGGCCGCACTCAGCATATGTCTGTGAGTTTCCTCCATGTTATTGTGGGTAGCAATGGTTTGTGCTTTTTCATGGCCAAGTAGTATTCCACCAGTGAATATGCTTCAGTGCATGCATCCTTTCTGTGTTGTTGGATATTTAGATTGCTTCCAGGTTTTTGCTATTATGAATAAAGTTCTAATAACATTCTCACACACATTTTTGGGGAAGTATATATTTCCATTTCTGTTCATATACCCAGGAGTAGACTTGGAAAGGCATGAGGTAAATGTGTGTTTAGCTTTGCACTGACCTTCTGAGAGATACCTGAATGCTGGATTTGCGTGTTATCATTGCAACAAGCGTAGTAGTTGATAGGTATGTGAGTGATACATTTGGGGGTGAGCAGTAAGTTTATCTAGGTGTGATCAGAGGCCAATTGCCCAAGCTCCGGTGCAGGTTCCTTCATGCAGTGGTTTGGCCTTTGGCCCCAGCTCCTAGGAACTCCTCCCACTGTCTCCATTAACCTGGGAGGAGGACCAGCAGGCTGAATTCCAGAGGTGGACCCACATTGCAGATGTGTATAAACAGAACTGTCTCCCAGGAATGCCCTGCAGGTGACTGTAGGTAATGTTGAGGCATCCCTGTTGCCTTCCTGAAGAAAGCCCTTCCAA